GGCAAGAGAGTGAGACTCTGTCTCAAAAAAAAAAAAAAAAAATGATAATAATATTACAGCTAAAAAGAAATTAAAGTTGTTGTAATGTTGAATTTGTTTTTTCAAACTATATGTTATCCTCAGGAAGTTACTAGAATAGGTAGGTCAGTGGTTGCAAAACAGCAGCACGAAAGGAGAACACATACAGTGTTTATGTAAAAATTTGAATTAGTTGCTAATATTTGAAAATGGGGAGATCTCACATTAAAGTTTGGATTCAGAGCTTTTTGATAAATCAACATATCTGATAATACTGAACATGAACTCTATTGACTGGAGCTGAGGCTGTTGCTCCTGTAGGTGGACAAATGTTCAGTTATTCATAGAACCTGCCACTTCTATTTTGTTTCCTTCCTTTTTGCCTCCCTCCCTTCCTTCCTTTTTGAGATATAATTCATATACCATGAAATTCACCTTTTAAAAAACTACAATTCAGTAATTTTTAGTTTATTCACAAAGTTGGGCAACCATCACCACTATCTAATTCCAGAGCATTTCATCAGCCCCCAGAGATACTTTGTACCTGTTCGCAGGCATTGACTATTTAGCATAACTGAGCCCTTGGGAAACTGCTGATCTGTTTTCAGTCTCTGTGGATTTGCCAATATAGACATTTCACATATGTGAAATCCTATAGATTTGCCTATTCTAGACATCTCATATATGTGGAATCCTGTAGATTTGCCTATTCTAGACATTTCATATATGTGGAATCATATAATATGTGGCCTTTTTTGTCTGATTTATCTCACTTAGCATGTCTAAGGTTTATCCATGTTGGAGCATGTATCAGTACTTCCTTCTTTTTAATGACTGAATAATATTCCATTGTATGGATACCTGACATGTTTATTCATCAGTTGATGGACATCTAGGATTCTACTTTTTGGTGCTTTTTTTTTTTTTTGAGACAGAGTCTTGCTTTGTCGCTCCAGATAGAGTGCAGTGGCATAATCATAGCTCACAGCAACCTCAAACTCCTGGGCTCAAGTGATCCTCCTGCTGCAGCCTCCCAAGTAGCTGAGACTACAGGCATGTGCCACCATGCCCGGCTAATTTTTTCTATTTCTAGTTGAGAAGGGTTCTCGCTGTTGGCTCAGGCTGGTCTCAAACTCCTGACCTCAAGCCATCCTCCTGCCTCAGCCTCCCAGAGTGCCAGGACTCTGTGCCTGACAGACTTTTTGGCTTTTATAAATAATGCTGCACTAAATGTTACTGTACAGGTTTTTGTGTGGTTATATGCTTTCAGTTCTCTTGGGTATGTATGTAGGAGTGGAAATAGTGGTTCATGTGGTTCCTGTTTCTCCACATCTTCATTGCCACCTGTCATTGTCTTTTTGATATATAGTCATCCTAACTGGGCGTGAAGTGATATGTCATTGTGGTTTTGATTTGCATGACCCTGATAACGTGGTATTGAGCATCTCTAGTGCTTATTGGCCATTCGTGTATCTTTGGAGAAATATCTATTGAAATCTTTTGCCCGTATTAGATTAGTTATCTCATTGCTGAGTTGTAATTGTTCTTTATGTGTTCTGTATACTAGACCCTTATCAGATGTATGCTTTGCAAATATTTTCTTCCATTCTGTGGGTTTTTTTCACTATCTTGATAGTCTCCTTTGATACACACAAAGTTTTTGTTTATTTTTTAAGAGACAAGGTCTCACTCTGTCACCCAGACTGGAGTGCAGTGGTATAATCACAGCTCACTGCAATGTCAAATTCCTGGGCTCAAGCAATCCTTTCTACTCAGCCTCCTGAGTTGCTAGAACTACAGGTACATGCTACCATGCCCAGCTAATTTTTAAAAAATTTTTTATGGAGGCAGGGTCTCCCTATGTTGCCCAGGCTGATCTCGAACTTCTGCCCTCAGGAGGCTTAGGCTTTGGCCTTCCAGAGCGCTGAGATTACAAGTGTGAGCCACCATGCCCAGCCAGAAGTTTTTAATTTTGATCAAATCCAACTTTTTTTTTCCTTTGTTGATTGTGTTTTTGGTGTCATGTTTAAGAAACTATTTCCTAATCCAGGGTCATGAAGATTTACACATCTCTTCCCATCTAAGAGTTTCAGATTTAGCTCTTACATTTAGGTCTTTGATTTATTTTGGATTAATTTTTGTGTATTATGTGAAGTAGGAGTCCAACATTATGCTTTGGCATGTGGATGTCCAGTTGTACAGCACCATTTGTTGAAGACTGTTTTTACTCCCTTGAATTGTCTTTGCATCCTTGTCAAAAATCAGTTGACAATAGATGTGTGGGTTTATTTCTGGACCCTCTGTTCCATTGGTCTCTATCCTTATGGCCGTAACACACTGTTGTGATTACTGTAGCTTTGTGGTAAGTACTGAAATCAGAAAGTGTGAATCTTCAACTTTATTTTTCTTTTTCAATGTTGTTTTGGTTATTCAGTGCCCATTGCAGTTGCATGTGAATTTGAGGATCAGCTTTTCCATTTCTGCCCAAAGGGACCATTGGAATTTTGATAGGAAATGCATTGTATCTATAGATCACTTTGGAAGTATTGCTGTCTTAAAAATATATTTTTCCTATTCATGAACATGGGATGTATTTCTATATGTAGGTCTATTTTAATTACTTTCAACAGTGTTTGTAGTTTTCAGTGTGTACGATTTGCGTTTTTTTTGTTAAATATGTTCCCAAGTACATTATTCTTTTTGATGTTATTGTAAATGGAATTGATTTGTTCATTTTATTTCTAGAATTCTCATTACTAATATATAGAAATATAACAGATTTCTGAATGTTGATCTTGTAACCTGCAACCGTGCTGAGCTTGTTTATTAGTTCTAATAGTGTTTTTATGAATTTCTAAGAATTTTCTGTATATAAGACTATGTCACCTAAAAACGGGTCAAGTTTTACTTCTTATCCAATCTGGAGTCCTTTTATTTCATTTTATTGCATCTGCATCTTCTGACTGGAACCTCCAGAACAATGTATAATAATAGAAGGGGCAAGATTGGATGTCCTTGTATTGTTCCTGACCTTAGGAGGAATCCGTCTAGTCTTTTGTCATTAAGTATGATGTTAATTGTGGATTTTTCACAAGCTGTTTACCAACTTGAGGACATTCCTTTCTTTTTGTTATCTTTTGAGTGTTATAGAGTGTTGAATTTTGGCACATGCATTTTCTGTGTCAGTTGGGATGATCATTTGGTTTTTGTTCTGTATTCTTTTAATGTTTATTACCTTGATCGATTTTTGTATGCTGAACGTACCTTGCTTTTGTTAGATATATTCCAAATGTTCACAGTCTATAATTCCCTTTTTAAAAAATATTCTTATTAGGTTTGCTAGCATTTTGTTGAGGATTTTTGCTTCTATAGTCATAAGACATATTACTCTAATTTTCTTCTGATGTCTTTGTCTGGGTTTGGTATCAGAATAATACTGGCTTCAGAATGAATTGGGAAGTGTACCATCTACTTTTTTGAAGTTTTTGAATAATTAGTGTTAATTCTTTAAATGTTTGAAGCCATCTGTTCCAGGGCTTTTATTTGTGAGAAATTTTTCATTTCTAATTCAATCTCTTTACTTTTTATAGGTGTGTTCAGATTTTTTATTTCTCCTTGAGTCAGTTTTGCTTGTTTCTTTTTAGGTCGTTTTTTCTTTTTAGGAACTTGTCTGTTTCATGTAAGTGATCTAATTTGTTCATAGTATTTCCTTATCCTTTATTATTTCTGTAAGGTTGGTAGTAATGCTCCCTTTTTTAATTCTTGAGTTTAGTTACTTGTGTCTTCCCTCTTCTTTTTTTTGGTTAGTCTAGCTATAAGTTTCTCAGTTTTGTTGATCTTTTCAAAGGACCAGTTTGGTTTCATTGTTTTCTAAAAGTTTTCTATGGTATTTCTATTTTCCAGTTTATTTCCACTTTACTCCCTGTTGTTTCCTTGTTTGGGTTTAAATTGTTGTCCTTTTTCCGATGTGTTAAGATGGAAGATTAGGTTATTGATTTGAGGTCTTTCTTGTCCCCCCCCCACTCCCGCCCCTGTTACCTCCAAATACCGTCACATCTTGTTTTTTAATATAAACATTTACAGTTATAAATTTTATCTCTACTTTAGATGCATCAAGCAGGTTTGGGCTTGTTGTGTTTTCATTTTCATTTATCTCAAAGTATTTTCAATTTCCCTTGTGATGACTTTTGACCCATTGGTTCTTTTTGTATGCTGTTTAATTTTCACTTATTTGTGAATTTCCCCAATTTCTTTCTGTTACCAATTCCTAATTTTGTTTTATTATTGTCAGGGAATAAACTTTGTGTGATTTCAGTCCATTTATAGTTACTGAGATTTGTTTTATTGCCTAACATGTGGTCTGTTCTAAAAAATGTTCTACATGTATTCGAGAAGAATGTGTATTCTGCCATTTTGAGGTTGAATGTTCTGTAGATATCTATGAAGTCTATTGGTTTTATAGTGTCCAAGTCTTCTGTTTACTCATTTTCTGTCTACTTTATTCATTATTGAAAGTGGAGCGTTAAAGTCTCCAACTCTTATTTTTGAATTGTGTGTTTCTTCCTTCCTTGTATTTTGAGACTTTGTTGTTAGGTATATATATAAGTTTATAATTGCTATATCTTGTTGATGAATTAGCCATTGTTCATTCTGAAATATCCTTTGTCACTAATAGCAATTTTTGTATCACAATCTATTTTGTCTGCTGTTAGTATAGCCACTCCAGGCCTCTTTTGGCTACTGTTTGCATAGTATATATTTTTCCATTCCTTTACTGTCAGCTTATTTTGTCTTGGAATTTAAAGTGTATCTGTTGTAGACATTATGTACAAGTTCAGTATCGCTTATCCAAAATGCTTGGGATCAGAAGTGTTTTGGATTTTGGATTTTTTCTTATTTTGGAATATTTGCTTATATATTTTTGTTTGTGGCTGTCTTTTCTGTTTCTTCTTATTAACATGTTTGTCATTTTAGCTTCTAAGGAAATAAAGAATGCTGATGGGAGAACCATTTTCCTAATTTTCAAATTGTTGAGCTGGTTGCCATGATGGGTGAGTTCAAACTAAAAGCATTTTTCAGCTACAATTAAAGGATAGAATGAGAGACACAAATTTTCTCTGTTATGTTATTATAAACTTTTTTATGAAGAAATTTTATACTGATATGGATTGTGATTTGCTTAGACTCTGATGGCAAGAGAGAAATGAAATGAAATTTCGTCATAATGTTAACTTAGTTTCGTTTTGTGCTCAGTTGACTGTCCTTTGAACATATGTCAGAAACCCACTACTGCTTCTGTGTGCCAGTTGGTCAGAGTCAGATATATCCTCTGGGCATCCTCACTGCCTATTGGGTCAACTCATAATCTTTACGATATTTATAACATGTCTAATCTGCCTAGTGCCCTGTAGCCACCATAGGGATTCTTAATAGCGCAAAGTAGTCTAATAATCATAAAAACAGAGCTTATTATAGTTTGGGCATGTTCAAACTATGTATGTATTAAGATCCTTTTGTGGATATTTTAGCTTACAACTTGTCAACCTCCCTAAAGTAAATTCCCTGCTGGTACTATCTACCATGTTATTCTTCAAGCCTGAAAAAGAAGGAACTCAATTAAATTGCCTTTTGTTTTGTATGTCATTTTCCTAAGATTTGAACTTTTGTTCTAATGGCCCTTTCCTTTTTTACATATCAATATGTGATAGAAAATAATACTAATTTTTCTTTTTTTTTTTTTTTCCTGTACTCATGTCTCTTAACAAGGAAGGTATATAGAAATGTGATAAGAGATTTTAGCCAGAGCCTCCTTGGGCATTTATTTATTTTGGCATTGTGATACTAAGCATATAAAAATGCCTAAATTCAAGTCTTAAAAGTTTTTTCTAATAAAATAATTAGAACAAATAGATACATTTAAGTATTAGTGTTCCTTTCTCCCCAGTATAGAATTAAAGATATTACCTTTCTCAAGAAGATCCCATCAACTTTATTCCAGTTGAGATCATTCTGAGCTTATCAGACTGAGGGGAAATTTATTTTTATCAATAAGTGACATATTTCTGGCATGGACCTATTGATGGTATACCTGTTGTGATTATATTGTACCCAACTGGCTCAGTTACCTATTTGGCTAAGTTAACATTGTGACAAAATTTTATTTTACAAAGAATACTTGTGAAGGATTATCAAATTTTCTCTTAACCTGGAATTTATTTTAAAAAAACCATGACAACCATTACTTTTAAATTTTAATGTGCAAATAATTTCACTATAGGATAGAATACGTTGAATGTTATTAAAAAGTAATAAATTCAAGAAGTCAGCTATTTTTGTGTTTGAAAGACTATTAAGGCTATGGAATTGTCAGATTTTTAAAAATGGCTTCCCTTGTAAGATATAGCATGTTTTAATTATTACTACTCTAGGAACATAAATTATATATTGTTCACCAAAATGATTACATTTTACAATGTAAACCGTGAAGTCTCTTGATTCCTTTATTTGCCATTTGTTGATTAGCATTAGTAGAATTGATTTACTGGTGAAAATCAATTAAGTTGCCCCTGAAGTCTTCCAGAGAGCTTATAATTGGCATTACTGGGAGGTACATGCTTATAATCTCAGAAAGAAATCTTCGATATGTTTGGAAGAGACTGAAAGTTCATGGTTCATGATCCTTTCCCTCAGTTTTACAGACTCGATACTTTTTCTAAGGAATGGATTTTTCTTCTTTTGTTACCTTTTAAATTATTACTGGCCAAAGTCATTAAATCGTCTATTTGTAGTCTTATTAAACTTTATGGTGAAAAAGTTTGAGAGAACATTTCCAAATACCAGTAGGCCAGTATCCACAGATGAAGCTTTTCTTTGTTTTGGACTCTTAAGTATTGATGAAAGAAAAAAAAAAAACTGTAAAAATGAAGTCTGTACTTTGAATATAAATACTAAATAATGATGGTATTTATACAAAGTTTATTTTTTCCCTACTTTTTTTTTTTTTTTAAGATTTTAGGTGTCTTGATGTTTTATTTAGGAGTCGGAAAAGAATTTGTTGTAACAAAGCTGTTTTGACCCATATACTAGGATATTAAATCATTCAGAGAATGAAAATGACTTTATCTCATCTATAAGTATCTTGTATGTGGACCTCTAGTCTGATGCTAGAGCTTGAGTCTAGTGCAATTTTAATGTTATCTGTCTTTAGGGTTTTTCTTTCCTTCAGTTTTTAAATAATTAAAATGTTATTTCACCCAAAGTATAGGCATTGAGAATGTTTTGGATGCATTTTTGCATTAAATTAATGTATTTTCTAAATAAATTTCTTTATAAATTTTGTATTTGCTGTCTATATATATGTTGAAGTTAAAATTCTGTATATGTGTTATTTCAAAAATACCTAGATGATCAGCAAGCTTTGGACTCAATAATGCAAGATTTGGCTGTTCTTCATAAGGCTAGTCGACCAGCATTATCCTTACAGGAAACTAGAAAAGCAAAATCTTCATCACCAAAAAAACAGGTATTTGTTTTAATAATAATTTAATAAGTATATTTTATTCTTTGAATTATTTTTCCTTAATATTCTAATCTTATGGAGGACTTGTGTTTTAGCCTTTATACTTTCGAATCAAGTATTTTGTTGTTGTTTGTTATACATTTTCCCATAGGAGTGTGCATTTTTTAAAAAAATGGTAGTTCCATTTAATGTGGTAACTGCTTTCCAGAGTTGATATTTCATCCATCTTTCAAGCACTTAAGATAGGCAAATTGTTTTATTTTGTTTTTCAAATAGTTTAGTTGGCATGTTTACAAATGAGGATGATTTGATTCTTATAAGTGAAATTAGTTTGGGATGCCAAGCATGAAAGGTGGAAATACAGTATTCCGTATTTTCCTCTAACAGGATCAGTGAAGTCTCCTACCCCTGATGCCGTCACTCATAGATCTTGGTACTCTTTCTGTGTTGCCCAGATTCAGCAACATAATTCTCAACTCAGCTTTTTGGCAGACACGATCAATTGACTGGAGCTGATACAAAAAATGAAAACTTCCTTCCCTCTCAGCTATATTTTAAATGAATGTTTGAGAAAGAAAATCATATAGAAATTCTAGAAATTTTATCTGATCTCTGAATGATTATGTGACTGATTTGTCATTTCATTACAGAATGACGTCCGAGTCAAATTTGAACATAGAGGAGAAAAAAGGTAAGGAAGGAAACATCACTTGTTGATTAATTGATTTAATCAAATGTATTCTGATTAAGCTATTAAAGGTTCTTTGATTTGAATGAAGTTTCATGGTTTACAAATTGAAAATAGGGGAGTCCTTGCTAATGTATAACATGAGCTTAGTTTCAAGATAGAATCCGTCAAAATTCAGGCTAAACATTAGAAATTATTAGTGTCTTTTCTTTGTAATATTAGGAAATAAATAAGGTCTGCATAATGCAGCCTTTAAATATTACAATTTCCTTTTTTTTTACTCAGTGCAAATTAAATATATTTTCTGTTATCATAATTGTATCATCCCTCCAAATACTATACAGAATTTATGTATGTGGACTTAACATTCACAGTTGTGGTTATTCTTAAGAGACCTCAGTGCTATGACATGCATTTCATTAGTAATGTTGAGGAAGGTCAGTTGGAATGGTGGCTGCAAACTGTTTAGTAGAGATGTAAACCTCGCTTTCCACTTGGTGTCTTTATCTCAGTGCAAAGTGGTGGTGGTGGTGGTAGTTGATGACAAAATTGGTAACAAGACCTAATAGGAGTTAGAGAAGATGGAATTTCATTTCTGCTATTAGTGTCTCATTGAATTAATTTAACCAAAAGTCTACTAGTTTTAAGGACTTTAAAATGGCTCACAGTCATATAACGTGAAGATGAAAACATATTTTACATTGAGATGTTTAAAAAGACCAGATATACCACAGAACTGTTGTCCAATTTACTTTTCTATTTAAGGTTCTTTTATGGATATTTTCCCAATTTTTAAATTTATTTGGGCCGGGCGCGGTGGCTCATGCCTGTAATCCTAGCTCTCTGGGAGGCCGAGGCGGGCGGATTGTTTGAGCTCAGGAGTTCGAAACCAGCCTGAGCAAGAGCGAGACCCTGTCTCTACTAAAAATAGAAAGAAATTAATCGGACAACTAAAAATACATAGAAAAAAATTAGCCGGGCACGGTGGCGCATGCCTGTAGTCCCAGCTACTGGGGAGGCTGAGGCAGGAGGATCGCTTGAGCCTAGGAGTTTGAGGTTGCTGTGAGTGAGGATGACTCCACGGCACTCTAGCCCGGGCAACACAGTGAGACTCTGTCTCAAAAAAAAAAAAAAAATTTATTTGGCACTATTTTTTGAGCACTTGCTATTAAATATATGCTAGGGCAGGCCTGGGAGGAATAATGTGAGCAAAGCAGACATGGTATCTCCCCTTGTGGGGCTTGCAGTCTATTCTGGTTGTCTCCCAGCTTTAGGTGCATGCTCTGTAAGGGCAGCACAGGCCAAGCCTTTGGGATATGGGAGGAAAACATAAGAATTTTTACTCGTTTTAAAATTGTAATCCTTTTAAAATATTTATTTTGGAAGTATACTTGTATGACTGTGGGCTCAAAAATGTTGAGTTGATGAGGATACAGAAATCAAAATTTCAGTCCCCAAAAAACAGCTTTATTGTTTTTAACAGTTTCATTACATTCTTTTGTGCAGATTTCACTAGTTAAGTTAAATCAGTTTTCCTCAATGGACATTTTACATTGCTCTTTAACATTCATGTGACAGTTTCAGTGCAAATTTAAAACTTCAGAAAATTTTGAAAATTTCCTTTTAAAAATTTTTATTAGGATAGAACAAACTTCAGAGTTTTCAAACTTTATGTTGAAAATTTGTGCACTTGATCAAAAAATGAGCTGTTGCAGTGTTTAAGTAAAGTGAACATTTACACAATTTTTACTTAATTTTCTATCCAACAAGAGATAACTGTTGCAAGTATATTACTTAACTTTGCCTAAGAAAATAAAATATTTTTAAAATTCTGTCTATATAGAATCCTTCAGTTCCCCAGACCAGTTAAACTGGAAGATCTGAGGTCTAAGGCTAAAATTGCCTTTGGACAGTCTATGGATCTGCATTATACCAATAATGAGGTAAATATGTAGAATTTAACTTGTAGTAGTTCTCATTTTGGAAAGTACTATGTTCATTTAAGAGAAGTCCTTTAGGACTATTATGTTTTTATTTAGGGATTGATAAATATATGGTATATTGGAGGAATGAAATATCACGAGTAAATTTAACTGGTTGAGATAGACTTTTTTCCTTTGTGGAAAATAATAGAAGGTGCTATTGTGCAAATAATTGAATGATAATCTATTATAGGAGAAAATATATGTATTACTTGTAAGTTTGCTGCTTATTTATGTTTTGTTTTTATTATGTGCACTTTTGATGAACTATCTTTTCATACTTTACACTTGGCTACAGACAGTAGAGCTTTGGTAGTCAGACAATTTAGTTAAAACTTAAAGGATTATTTTAATGTTGATTAGGACTTGATTAGATTATTATGCTGATGTTTAGGGGTCAGTACATGTGATCTTGAGGGCTTGCTTGGTACTGAGGAGCTATGCGTTGTGGGGAAACCCCTTTTTAATCTTGTAAAATTAGGATTGGATTAGATGATCTCTGAGGTTTCTTTTAGTTCTTGAGGTCCTCTGAGATCGCAAGATCTTGAAATCCTAAATTTTATAGGACAATTTGGTTTTTAATCTTCAAAAAATTTATTGAATTTTTCAGGTTATGACATGAGGTTTTTCAGGTTATGACTCACGTCTCCTCGTGAGTAGACTTTGTAGACCTATGGTAGAAGCAGACAATTAATAAATGAATTGCTTAAATATATGAAATTCTTTGAAGGAAATGCATAAAGTATTGAAATAGAAAATAAAAGCAAGGGCAGTAGGTGTCCTGTGTATAGCGTTAAGGAAGAACTAACTGAGGTGGTGATACTCATACTGAGATGTATGAAAAGCCAGCCCTCCAAAGAGGTTCAGGGAAAGAACAGGGCTGGTAGAGAGTGGCTTGAAAGTGGTGCATACCAGCAGTCCTAAGATGGAAAAGACTTACATGTTTCAGGAATAGGAAAAGTAGCAGTAAGGATGGAGTGACAATGGAGAGCTTAGTAAAAATTGATGCAAGAGGACATGTGAAAGTGCTTTGCAAATGTTAAAGCATTGTGCAAATAAAATTATTTGAAAATATTAGATTTTAAATGAATTATTGTTAATTTAAAGCTAAAGAAAATGCTAATGTAGCTTGTCTAAAGAAACCACTTACACCTCACTTGGACATGAAAATATTTTGATAAGCAAAAATCTGTATTCTAAACAGTTAGTATACCTGAACAAAGTGATGAGTACTGTACTATAGTAATACCTTGAAATTTTATTTTGCAGATACTTTTTAGGGTTTCCAGTTAGTCGTAAACACATCATGCTGGCTATTCCTATCTCAGCACTTACTATTATTTCTGTTTGTGCTGGCCAGATTTTCAGCTGCCAGCCCCTTAGGCTCTTGAGGGCTTTCCAGAGGTGTGGCCATGGGGGTTGAAGTATACACAGGGAGGAGGGAAATGGGAGGTGGGCCTCAAGGGTGGGTGGGGGTGGGGATGGAAGGACTCCACTTGCCCACAGTGGTAACTTGCTGATAATGCACCCTTTATGGACCTCCTTTCTTTCCCTGTCTTCTCGATTCCCTTACCAGTGTTTCCCGGTATCTTTTTTTTCATAAATGACTTGAACTTGAATCATTATCCCCAACTATGATTCAAGGGAACCAGAAGTATTTTTTTTTTTTTCTTTTGGTCTAAAATTGTGTCATGAAAAACTTTAAGACTATAATATTGTCTTTTAAAAAAAATTTTTTTTTTTTTTATTTTGAGACAGAGTCTCACTGTGTTGCCTGGGCTAGAGTGCCGTGGCATCAGCCTAGCTCACAGCAACCTCAAACTCCTGGGCTCAAGCGATCCTCCTGCCTCAGCCTCCCAAGTAGCTGGGACTACAGGCATGTGCCACCATGCCCGGCTAATTTTTTCTATATATTTTTAGTTGTCCGATTAATTTCTTTCTATTTTTAGTAGAGACGGGGTCTCACTCTTGCTCAGGCTGGTCTCAAACTCCTGAGCTCAAACAATCCGCCCGCCTCGGCCTCCCAAAGTGCTTTTTTATATCAAAATACTTAGGGGGGGTACAGATGTTTCTGTTACATGGCTTGAGTTAGGGCTACAAATGTGCCCATCACTTGAATAGAGTCAGGGCTATAAGTGTGCCCATCACCTGAACAGTGTTCATTGTACCTGTTAGGTGGGTTTTTGCCTCTCACCTCTTTGCTCCTACCCCTGCTTGATTTCTGTATTGTCTTTATTGGTAGCCAGCCTAGTAGGTCTACCAAAAAAACAAGGTTAATTTGGCATGATTTGTCCATATAACTGTGCTGGCTCCTGGAATTGCTGTTTCTCTTAAGAGTTATTTGTTTATGTAATTTTTTCTGGGGTTTTCTTGAGGATTGACATCAAGCTAACTGTAGTTTCAAGAACTCTTTCCCATTTTCTAAAAATAGAAAATTTCTCCATTTTTAGTTTATTTTTCTCATGCTTTCTGAAGGATTTCTGTGAGTGGTTCTGCCATTATGTTTGGGTGGCCTCTTGGCAGGAATGTGGTAGAGATGGCATTAGGATAAGATTACATTTAAGATTTCTTGCAACCCTGAGATTCTGTAAGAATCTGTGGTTCTTCTGTAAGTTAACCATGTCCTGATTCATGTGACACATTGTCCCAAACTGAATACATCATCTTGGACATTGTGGGTCCTAGGGAAAATCTTATACAGACAGGATGTTAATTTTGTGAACCTGCAGACAAGCAAATAACTAGTATATTTATACTGCATGTTATTCTACTTCTATAAATATTTTTTTCTAGTGTAATATAAATTCCTCTGTTCAAAATGAACTGCTATTCTATAAACTTCCAGTTTGTTAGAATTGAAACAACCAGGAAATTTAAGCTGGGATTGGTTGGATTTGTTAGGTTGGCTCCTCTCTAATAAGGTGGCTTTGTGTGTGTCTTTGAGTGTGGTGCTGTGGGGCATGGATATGGAGGTGTTCAGGCAAAGTGAAGGTTTTCTTAAATTGTTCCCATTTTAGATGAGTGGAGCCAGAAAACCTTTTTATGGGCTATTTCTATACTTCACTATGTAAACTCAGGAAGATAATTCACTTCTTTCAAGTTTAACTTCTATTTAAGGTGTTCTTAGACTCAATTTTAAGTTTCCTTTCCAGAAAGGATTTATATCAACAAACAACTGATTTATCACAAATAAGTCAGAGGGAAATAGATTTCACAAATGAGGCTGAAATTAATTCACCAAGCAGGACAGCATTCTGTGATTTATTTAGTATAATTTAGATAAGCTGGGACTTGTTCTTGACTCTTAGTCCTCATTTTACAGCTTGTAATAGGTGGCCTTAGAACACAGATGGGATCACATCAAGACTGTAGGCAGTGTCTAAGCTGCTGCAGGCGTTACTTCGGGATGTCCACATTTTACAGCCAAAAACTGAAGAAGAGCAGAATCATTTATGTTCATATTTGGTTACTGCCATTTAAATAAGTGTTTTTTTTCCCCCAAAAGCAGCAGTATCTTGGAAAAATAAGCAATCCAATTATAAATAAATATATAGTAAATATGTATTAAGCTCTTCCTCTCCAATGAAAATTTTAACAAGTGTGGAATATGTTCACTTGTTTTTATTCTATCCCCCTTTCAATGAAGTGGAATATACTTTGAAGTTATTGACAAAGTCTTCTTAAGCTACTAAGTTGACGTTTTTGGGAAAAAAGTATTTTGATTTTCTTAAATTGTGTGAATCACACTTTTCCTCATAGACCTCAGGTGCTTTTGTCCTGTATAGCATCTGATCCGTGAGAGGACTGATGAAAGCAGATTCCACATTCAGTGTTTACTATGGGTTGGCTAACCCATTTAGCTTACTTGTTGTAGGGTGTAGTGGTCAGATCACCATGCTCAGAGAGATGAACCCCAGGTGGGCAGTAGATTGCAAGTATATTACTAATGGCACCCTCTATGACAGCTATCCCCCATGGCAGATGCTCAGGATGCTGGTATGTTCCAGCACACCAGGTGAGAGTACAAATCTGTGGTTACTATGGAAAAAGAACTATGAGCTGCATCTATTCGGGGGCCGGGTGTGGTGGCTCACGCCTGTAATCCCAGTGCTCTAGGAGGCCAAGGCGGGAGGATCGCTTGAGCTCAGGAGTTTGAGACCAGCCTGAGCAAGAATGAGACCCTGTCTCTACTAAAAATAGAAAAATTAGATGAGCATCATGGCCTATGCCTGTAGTCCCAGCTACTTGGGAGGGTGAGGGAGGAGGATCACCTGAGCTCAGGAGTTTGAGGTTACAGTGAGCTATGATGACACATTGCATTCTACCTTGGGTGACAGAGCAAGACACTATCTCTAAAAAAAAAAAAGTTGCATCTATTCAGATGAAAAGATGATCTGTGTGTATTCTTTAATGTTTTTTTTGTGGTGAATATACTGTAACTTAAGCAGTATTATGGAAATATTCTAGAAAATTAATCTTTAAATATATTTTATAGAAAAATGTGATGATTAATAAAGCAAAATTTTAAAGCATTTATTCATATTCATTGCATGATTTTAGTGGTGGTAGGATGGGAAGAACAGAACAATCTAGATAGATTGTTCAAACTTTCGCGATAGTAACAAATCAAAAAGCAAGGTATTTTAACATTTATAATTCCCTAGTAGTAGAGATGCTGTGGAAGAATTTGACACCTAGTGAGATGGTTGCCTAATTCCTTCTGTTCCTTTTTGTTTAGTTGGTAATTCCATTAACTACCCAGGATGACCTGGACAAAGCTGTGGAACTGCTGGATCGTAGTATTCATATGAAGAGCCTAAAGATACTACTTGTAATAAATGGAAATACACAGGTATGAATTGGGATTTTTTTTTCTGGTAAGAATTATAGGACTTATGCCTGAAAGTTAATATATGAAACATAGTTATATTCTGTAATCACTGATATATTTTCAGTATAATTAAATGTAAATTTATGTACTTTAATTGCTATAGTTTAATATCCTTGCTCTGTAAAACCAGAGTCACAATTATAAATAAGTATAATATATTTTACACATGAAACTAATAGATACTGACAATTTGGGAAGAATTATGTTAGAATTAAAATTTCAAGGAGTAGAAGACTTGATAAGGCCCACAAACAATATAGAATAGCTAGATTGCATTTGGTAGGGGAGAGATTCTGTTTAAAGCCCCAGAGAGGAAGAATAGCACTAATTGTCTTTTTTCCTTTATAGGCTACTAATTTAGAACCATTGCCATCACTAGAAGATTTGGATAATACACTGTTTGGAGCAGAGAGGAAAAAACGGCTTTCTATAATAGGTAAAGCTAATGTCTACATTATGAAATGGGTGATTTCTCAATTTCTTCTCCATCTTTTAATGTAGGGGCAGCACCTAAACATATTGCTGATAAATAGCATTCTGTTTCTGTACTTTGTGTAATTTAACTAAGTTAAACTACATTTTAATATCTGATGTCCCTTGGAAATTCTTTTCAAGTATTGTGGGATTAGATAATCTCCAATTTAAATTCCTTGTTTATATACCCATGGTATTTAAATGTTTAACAAATTCAAATAAAACCTTGAAGAGGTTTTAATTGTACAAATAGAATGGAAGAAAAAATTAAAAGAAGTAATTCTAGTATATTACAATCAATAGATATACTAGATTCTAAGTTCATGAGCCTTTCTCTAGGGTTTTAGTTATCACCAAGAATGCTGTCAAAATAAAGATTGTTAAGAACTTTCAGATTATGCTTTATTATTACTTTATTAGCATTCAGTTTTTATTTGCCATTAATAATGTATTATTCTAATTAAGCTTATGGTATAAGGAAATAAGGATCCTGTGTGCTGTGTTTTAAGGAGACTTTATTAGCAAGGCACGGGCTAGGCAGTGGTGCTCTAAACCCCCCCAGTTTTGTGCATCTTCTTCAATTTATATAAAACATTGATAATCTACATTTTTATATGATAAAAGCATTATATTGCTCAAAACACTGCTGATATAAATGTTTTTAATAGAGAGGGCAGTGGATATGATCATTAAAAATACCATGACAGCATATATGAGGGATAGATTTGAAGGGGAAAAGCTGGAGATGAGAAACAGATGAATAGGGAGGAAGCAGGAGAGTGGGGCAAAATAGATGTGGTTGGGAATCTAAAAAAGACTGGTCACAGAAGAGGGTTGTTAATAATGCAAGAAAAGATTAAATTAGCATGTGAACCACCAAAAAATATATATATTATTCATCTTCTCTTTTGGTTCCCAGGAAAAGCTATTTTATGACCATTCTTTTCTAAGTGTCTGCCTTATATAAGTCCTACTTTTGGTTTCAGAAGTGCTAGAAATGTGAGCAGCAGAGATTATATGCAAATAAAATAAAAATGGCTTGTCCTCATTTGGATATATTTTGATATAATTTTAAAATTTGGTGAAAGAACATTTGAGATACGTGAATTCAAATTCTAGCTCTCTGATTAACCTGAGACCAGTAAACTTGTTTGCATTTTTAAATCATGTGATTATTATAGCAATAAATTGAGAGAACATTTGTAAAGAACATTTTATTTTTCAAACTAGAAAGCATGACTACTACTAATTGTGCATTTTTTATTCCCCATTTCTCATCACATTATAATACCTGTCATTTTAAAGTAAAAAACTACCAATTTGGGGCCAGGTGTGCTGGCTCACTCCTGTAATCCTAGCACTCTGGGAGGCTGAGGCGGGAGAATTGCTTGAGGTCAGGACTTCAAGACCAGCCTGAGCAAGAGTGAGACCCCGTCTCTCCTAAAAATAGAAAAAAAATTAGCCAGTCAACTAAAAATAGAAACAAAAATTTAGCTGGGCATGGTGGCGCGTGCCTGTAGTCTCAGCTACTCAGACGGCTGAGGCAGGAGGATCACTTGAGCCCAGGAGTTTGAGGTTGCTGTGAGCTAGGCTGATGCCATGGCACTCACTCTAGCTCTGGCAACAGAGCAAAAACTCTGTCTCAAAAAAAAAAAAACAAAACTGCCAGTTCACTTTAATTGCATTAGACAGAACAAGCTTAAATTCACTGAAGTGACATTTTAAATTCATTTTGAATTAAAATTGCACTGAATACCTCAATCTTATTCGAATAAATATTCGTGTTTGACTTCAGTGCCAGCATAAAAAGAAACTAGAAAATCTAAGTATAGAATTACTGGTCTTTTATTGGCACTTCTTTAAACTTGGAATGGCTTTGATGGATATAACCATTATCTTTTTTTCTTGTATGTTGACAGTTATTCTCTTTAATTATTCTCTTTAACTCTCTTTGGATTGAGAACATATGCTGGTGTGTATATCTCAACCAATAGTGCGTTGGCATACTCATCACTAACAAAAATTAAGAAAAATGAGTTGCCAAGTAAGGAGATGAAATTTTCATAGCCTTTTTTCTTCCCTGTCTCCTTTTAGTATAATAAATTGAGTATATTGATCTTTTATAAACAAGAGTATATAGAAGGCATAAAAATATTAGGAACTAATGTGATCATTGTGGCTACAATTGATATGAAGTCTAAATCAACCCTGACTCAAAGTCGAGCACCTAATCATTTTACAGACCAGTACAGACAGTGCTTTCTTTTATGCACATCTCTTGGTAAACATTTTTCTGTTTTTCCGTATCTCATGAACAAGTGTTGGCATGTGCTTACAATGACCCCTTTACATACGGCTAAAGCCTTTTTTGCTTTAAATTTGACTAGAACTTAAATGCTCTCATAACATTGCCATATCTGTTTTATAGTTCAATTTTAATTTAATTTTATTTTATTTTTGGCCATTTAAAGGACTTAATATAGTTTAATTTTTAAAAATTACAAGGAAAGGGGAGAAACTGTATTAATAATCATAGCATCATTTCCATGGAACCAGGTCAAATAAAGTAGGTTATTATCTCCTAAGAAATATGATGTATTGAATGAACTATCTTAAATGAATGCCAGATTCTCTGTTTTTCTAAACTACGAAGAAATTCAAATTCCAAGAATATAACTTACCACAAAAAAGCCTAATTTTAAGTACCCAAAAATAAAATCCAGGATTCCAAATTGAAGATAACCTAGTAGGGGCTAAATGACAAAGTGATTCTCACTTTAGGTTTCCAAAGATTAAAGAGAGGAAATGGAAAGGATGTCATGGAGCCAAGTGTGTAAAGCATATGTTCTTAGGATAATTTTACCATCACAACACCCCTCGCAAGTAAGGGATGTTTACTTGCACATGTTTACAGATGAGGAAACAGGTTCATGAAGATTGCGTAGCTCTCCCAAGACACAGGTGGTAAATAACTGGAACTGGAATTTAAACTGAGGTCTGATTGCAGAGCCCATGTTCTTTCACTACATCGTTATGCCTTTTATAAATTATATTAAAAGCTAACATATACTTCGGTATGAGTGACCTCTGAAAGTTCAGGAGCAGTGGCATTTATGGAAAAACCTGTATGGTTTTTCCCACCAGCAGTCAGAAGACCCCATGCTACCTAGTAAGCATAAATGAATATTACAGTGGGGTTAATAACTATAGCAGGGTGCTAATTTACAGAGGGTATAAAAACATTTGATGTTTTATAATCATGAATATTCTGAGAAGTTTTTAATAAAAACTGAATTTAATTTGTTGGAATTATTATTGATATATTTCAGAAATATAACCTATTTAATTAAAGCAAAAATTGATTTCTTTGCTGATAATATAAATCATATAATTTTTCTCCTTTGAGGTTCTACTAGTAGAGATAGAAGTTCCCCTCCCCCAGGATACATTCCAGATGAATTACACCAGGTTGCCCGGAATGGGTCATTCACTAGTATCAACAGTGAAGGAGAGTTCATTCCAGAGAGCATGGACCAAGTAAGCAAAAGTTCGGTGTGGTTTTTAATTTTATTTAAAGGGATGTCATCAGGATCAGTATGATTTGGCAGGTACCTGGTTGTGTGTGTGTGTGTGTGTGTGTGTGTGTGTGTGTGTGTGTGTGTGTTACCTCTTCTTCCCAAATCTTTCTTCTTAACAAAATTGTAAAAATATATGAAAATGCCCACTAATTTACGTGTACCTGTATGTATTGATGTATAAACAAGGCTGGAATGAAGCTGGTTTTTCTATATTGCTTATCTCTAAGTAAGTGAATGAATGATGAAGGCATTTGCTTTATAATCCTGGGATTAATATTCAGATTTTTTTAACATTTGAAAGAAAGCATAAAACCACAAATATTCAACTTTGTGAAACCGAGGTTTGTGAACTTTCTAAAACACTTTTTAAAATGCTTCAGTTTTTTTTAGTATTGAAATGTTTTCATGACGTTGCTGTTAATTCCTTACCCCATTGCATTGGGTGCACACACTGCTGCACAACTTCACCCTTTCTAATACTGTAGCAGTCTCAGTGTCATTAATCTTAATTTGGGTGGGACTATTGTTCAGTTTCAGAGCGCAAAATTATGTGAAGTGTTTTAGTTTTTAATTACTTAGTAATCTATAGAGAAATATTTTTCTCTTAGGAAATTTTGAAGTTGTGGCTTATACAGGGGACATTTAAAAATGAGTAACTCTGGAGTGACCCTTATTAGGTATGGAGCTCTAAGATTATGGTGAGGGTTGCACAACTCTCAGTATTCTAAGAGCCATTGAATTGTGTACTTTAATTGGGTGAATTTTATGTTACATGATTATATCTTAATAAAGCAGTTTTTTTAAAAGTAACTTTTGATTCTATCAGATTGAATCATGATAGAACTCTTTATTTTCCTAGATGCTGGATCCATTATCTTTAAGCAGCCCTGAAAATTCTGGCTCAGGAAGTTGTCCATCACTTGACAGTCCTTTGGATGGGTAATATTGATTGTAGTTTTGTTTTTTAATACATGTGGGTAAATGTGCATACAGATAGCATGTTGAATTATAAGTAAATTTCTGTTGTGCTTATTCAGAGGGATATAAGTAATTGATATTTGTCAATAATGATGGCAAGTGAATTTTTCCACTGTGTGGATAAATCCTTTAACCTCATGGGACTCAGTGTCTTTATTAGTTAAAATGATAACTGATTGTAATATTTTGAGTATTCCTGCTTGCCAAAATTGTGTCTTTGAAGGCAAATACAAACTGAGAAATTATGTACATTTACTTTTTTTTTTTTGAGACAGAGTCTCAACTCTGTTGCCTGGGCTAGAGTGCCATAGCTTCAGCCTACCTCACAGCAACCTCAAACTCCTGGGCTCAAGCAATCCTACCGCCTCAGCCTCCCGAGTAGCTGGGACTACAGACATGCACCACCATGCCTGGCTAATTTTTTCTATTTTTAGTTGTTTGGCCAATTTCTTTCTATTTTTAGTAGAGATGGGGTCTTGCTCTTGCTCAGGCTGGTCTCAAACTGCTGAGCTCAAACGATCCTCCCGCCTCGGCCTCCCAGAGTGCTAGGATTACAGGCCTGAGCCACTGCACCCGGCCTTGGAGATTTCTTGAGTTATTAATATTTCACCTGTTGAGGATTATGTTCATTCTGGTACCAGATTAGAAATAATTTACATTCTTGGTAATTGTGGCCCAGTGTGTTAGTTGTCATTTCAAAAACTAAAGTTACTTTTCTTTTGTGAAATAGCTGTTCAGGAATGAGCAGTATCAAGTTGCAAACCATGAATTTTTTTGTTACCAGTGCTCCCTCTCCTGGTCTCAGTAGGACAGTGTTCTTGGTGGTCACCCTGTAGCACACAAAGAAGAGTCAATATTAAAATCTTTAGTTGTTTAATCTCCTCAGGGATTGCTATATGGGAGCAAATTCAGAAAAGATAACTAATACCATGTGGAAATGTGCATTTAATTTTCTCTGGTCTATGTATATGAAACCTCACTGTTAATATCTGCCTCAGGGTAGACATTTAAGAAATTCAATAGTAATGAGAAAGCTACATATTGAATACTATTTGCAAAGCACTATCTTGAGCGCTTTACTTGTATACATTTGATGAGTTGGAAATTATTATTTCCTTTTTATAGTTGCAGAAACAGTCTTGGAAAATTAGTGTCAGGGTTTCACAGTTAAGTGGCAGAGCTCAGAAGGAAACACAGGTGTTTCCAAAAACCTATGATTCCAAAGTATATCATTCTCAAAGCTAGGCTTTTTGCCTACATGTACCAAATAAGTGTTTAAAAAGAAGTTTCTCTTTTTTAGTTTTAACCTTTGGAGTGAGCGCCTTTACACACACACACACACACACACACACACACACACACACACACACAGAGATATTGCTTAAAGATTTTTTTTAAACTGTCCTGTTTTACATACTTTCTCTTAATTTAATGTGACATTTTCTGTTTATAGAGAGAGCTATCCAAAATCACGAATGCCTAGGGCACAGAGCTACCCAGATAACCATCAGGAATTTTCAGGTTAGATTTTATAAATTCTAAACATTGAAATGTTTATGTTATTGGATAATGTTTTGTCTAGGAGGGAGAGGGGAGATTTTTGAAAAATCAAATAAAAATCTGTAAATGTGCTTTTCATTATTAAAAATATTTGACTTTTTAAAAACATGATTTTATGTTTCTTAGCAGATTATGATAACCCTATCTTTGAGAAATTTGGAAAAGGAGGAACATATCCAAGAAGGTATCATGTTTCATATCATCATCAAGAGTATAATGACGGTAAGTTTCTGGCAATTTGACCACAAGAACAGTTTGTTAAAAATCTCAAAAACAATAAAAATCAATATAAAATTTTTAAAAAGTCTCATATTTGTGTAATACCATTAGAAATAAATTTGTTCCTAAATCACTTTGTTTTCTGGTTAAAACAGCTTTTGTGAGGAGTGTGGGTCATAACTAAAACTACAATGACATTTTAGCTTTGTGTCACTTATCTCATAATACTTGTCTTTCCCTTAAAAGGAGTAATTTTTGAATGGTATTAATTAGAAAATTACTCCTTGATGATGAAATTCATATTTGCAGTATCCCTTTAAGAAAAAAAACTTTCTACCTATAAACTTTCAAATCTTTGTTTTATATTTTAAAATCATTATTGGAAATGAGAGTAAAATATTTTTTCTCTTTTTTATCTAAAAGTGAGGGGATGCTTTTATATGATTTGTGTTTTGCCATAAGAGATTATTTGAATTTGGATTCAGATCCTGTTTATTTTTTCCCTCCCAATCATTGCTGTTTCAAATACTTTTAAAACATAACATATTAATAAAAGGTATAAGGTAATTCTGTTTTCATTTTTTAGGTCGTAAAACTTTTCCAAGAGCTAGAAGGACCCAGGGGACCAGCTTCCGGTCTCCTGTGAGTTTCAGTCCTACTGATCACTCCTTAAGCACTAGTAGTGGAAGCAGTATCTTCACCCCAGAGTATGATGATAGTCGAATAAGAAGAAGGGGAAGTGACATAGACAATCCTACTTTGACTGTAATGGACATCAGCCCACCCAGCCGTTGTAAGTAATAGAAATTGGCATAGTGAAGTATATAGCAAAACCTTTGCAGAATTTTACAGTATTAAAAGGAATAAATACCTAGCAAGTCCTCAGGGTGAGATGAACTCCTCGAAAGAGGTAATGGTGCTGTTTCTAAAAATGGTTGGAATGTCAGGTATAAGCATGGTATCACTGCTAATTAGATAATTCTGTCCTTTGCTTTATTAGGGAATGATTAACAACTAGTCATTTTTTTCATTCATTCAGTCTATATATCTTTGAGTGCCTAGCACTGAGATTTTAAACATGACCTCTAAGACAGTCTAATGGGGAGAATGATATGTGGAGAAATAATTACAGTACAGCATTTAATCTAAATCTTAAATGTGGCTAGAAATTCACTAGTTAAGGAGCTAACAGGTGCAAGAGGCCATGGCATATTCTGAAAATGAGGAGTAGTTCATTTCGGGGTGATGTCAGGGATCTTACTTGAGACAGTAGGAATAGGCCTACAGTGGTAACTAAGACCACATTCCAAAGTATTTGGACTCTATCATGTAAGCAGTGCATACAGAGATTCTTGTTCAAAGGTACTTATTGCAGCACAATTTACATACCCAAATTCCTCTTTTTTGTGCTAGTATCATCATAGTTTATTTTACATCTCTGACTCCATGCTACGTTGCTGTTATTTTTGCTGTAGACAGCTCTCATTTAAAGAGATCAAAAATAAGAGAAGAATGTCTTTTATATATACCTTCAGTTTATTTCTTCTTCTTTTTTTTTGAGACACAGTTTATCTTTGTTGCTTGGCATGATCATAGCTCATAGCTCACTGCAACCTCAAATTCCTGGGCTCAAGTGATGCTCCTGCCTCAGTCTCCCAAGTAGCCAGGACTACAGGCCCATACCACCACACCCAGCTAATTTTTCTATTTTTTGTAGAGACAGGGTCTCGCTATGTTGCTCAAGCTGGTCTTAAACTCCTGACATCAAATGATCCCCCCTCCTCAGCCTCCCAAAGTGCAAGGATTATAGCTACTACACCTGGCAGCCCTGTTGAGTCTGTTCATGATCCTATTGAAGGAATTCTTTATTTCTGTTACTGTTTTTTATTTCAAGCATTTTCATTTGCCTCTATCCTGCAGTTCCCATCTCTTTGCTGAAATTCTCTGTGCATGCATGTTGTCTACCTTTTCCATTAGGACCTTTAACATATTACCCATAGGTATTTTAAATTTTCTGTCTGACTCTCTTGAGTCTGATTGTGTTGATTGCTTTCTCTTTTGATTTTTTTTGGGGGGGGGAGGGGGTTTGCTTTTTTTGTGTGTGTCTCATAATTTTACTTTGAATGCCAGACATCGAGTATAGAACAGTGGAGACTGAGGTAAATAGAATTTATGCCTGGAAATAGGCACAGATGATCTTCTACTAGGCAATTATTGTGGGAGTTTGAGTGAATCTAGTCAGGAGTTGTGCTGGGTTTGGATTTTGTTGTGGCTGCGGTCCCTGTGCACCACTGACTTCAGGTTCCTTTAGTTATCTTGTGCTGCTTTTCTGGAGGGATTTTCTTAATGGTCCTGCTCCACCCTCAGCCTTTGGCCTTCCTGTGTGCCTACTTCTCAGAGAGGGAGGGTCTGTCTCTCTGTGCCCTTGTCCCTTTCTCAGTAGATTGCTGCAATTTTTTAGCATAGTATACGGGAGGTAGAATGGAGGGTTCTCTGTTATCCTGTCCACCTTCAGTCTTAGGTAGGCTTAATTTCCCTGGTTCTCAGAGATGGGCTTTCTCAGGGATCCTGCCCATCTTCCAGGAGTAGGAGAACTCTAATGGTCAAGCCAGAGAGGGTTTCCAGCCCCTCTTTCAGGGATAGAGCTTTCTTTCTTTCTATTCCCCTAGCATTAGTGGGGTTTTTACTCATAACCTGGTGGTGACAGGTTTTTGCTGCTCTTCCTCCAGCAGTTTAAGGCTCTTATTTGTTAGAGGAGAAGGCTTTGGGAGGAGCTTTCTACCTTTCCCATAATAGTGGGCCATTCCCCTTCTCCAGGCCTCGACCACCAAGGGAGGCTTTCTCTGGTCTCCTGCTCCTGAGAGTGCATAGTAGTGGGCCACAGAAAAGACTTTGAGCAGGTGTGAACTCACCTGTGTCTGGATCTCCCAAAGGTTCAGAATGCTTACCAACTCACACTTGTTAAAAATGGAGCTGAAATATGGAGATATCTTAAAGAGATACAAGTAGAAGTACCATTCGATCCAGCAATCCCATTACTGGGTATCTACCCAAAAGACCAAATGATATTGTACAAGAAAGACACCTGCACCCGAATGTTTATAGCAGCACAATTCACAATTGCAAAGATGTGGAAACAACCCAAGTGTCCATCAATACATGAGT